CACGGTGTTAGAGGAGAATCACATAAATGACGAGAAAAGGACGACACATCCCGTCATTTATGTAACTCTTCTTTAAGGCCGTAACTTTCCCAGCACGCTCATTTTCCAAGGGTCATTAATCACTATACTACATTAGAAAACATCGGAAACACCTTAAAAAGCAAAGTGCTTGTGAATCTCGAATATCGCTGAACGACTGTTGAATGAATCTGACTGCAGGGTATTCATTACAATCTGATTTATATATTTTTGTAAGCCGTCATATAAAGAAACCAAATTTTATTTTTTTACGTATTCATACCTTTGCTCACTATCGTAAGGTGCGTATAGCCAATAGTTACTTATTGTTACGAATAACAGAGTTGAATAGCGACGTTCACACGAAATACTAAAATTGTCAAATTCCTTAAATAAAAAAGAAAATAACATCGATAGTTCAGCAGCGACAAAAACGGCATGGGCCATTTCTCTATCACCCCTGGTAAGTAACATTAGAGAATGTTATTTCCTAGAAACGTTTAAGTATCCCATCTGGACAGCCACGTGTCAAAATCATTCTTACTCACTTTTAGGACAAAACGTATCATTCGCGCAATTTCTGCCAAAATATTAAGGCTCTGTACAAGCAACAACTGTATAATGTCATCATGGGCATATACAGTTATAAAAACTGTGAATTTCAGGTGGCATACACATGTTGCTTGACTGCTGCAATTCAGACGAAAGGAACATATGGGGTCACATACAAATGTCGCTATAAAAACAGAAAGGGTGTTCCAAACAAACCAACTCGTTTCTCACCTGTCACTTATGATTTGAGTCAGAAACAGTCGCAAAATAAAATTACTAAACATACTTATGTCGGGAACGACAGCCGAGCCTTCCCAAAGTGCAGTCTAACATCCCAAATCAACGTAAGAATTCGAAACTAAACGCTAAGTTTGCATTTCTCCTCTCTGACAAGTCTGACCTTTGAAAGAACTGCAGTATTTTAGACAAGTAAATTACAGGGGTAAGTCTTTATTTTATGCTCCTGTGCGTATTGCTGCCGAATGCGCCTTTACCTATTACCGTATTTTCCTGACTATAGTCTGCACCATGTGTATAGTCCGTTGAATTGAAGTTTTGGGGTGTATTATATGGGACAAAGGGTGTAAAAATACGCCCTTTTTTTTAGAGTGAAAGAGCAATCACACCGTCATTCCCGTTGCTCGATTTACTCGGAAATTAATAGAACTTAGCGTGTCTCGAAAAAAAGAAATATGTTCCTTATGTGACACTGAAGTTTTGGTGAGTGCGTTGGTGATGTTTAAATTATCAGAAATAATAAACAAAAAGACGCACAAGACGCACAAGCATCTTTCGAAAGGAATAGCTTGGACATGAACATCGAAGCTTAAAGTAGATGGGTCAAGCTCTGGGGAACCAGTGCCTTTCATTTGTGTCGTCTTGTCCGTCTTTTTGTAGACTCTTTCTGATAATTTAACTTATATCGAAATTTCTGCTTTCCTCATAATCGTTTTTAATTGCAGCAATCTCAGAAAATACTCGTATTTTAATGGTGATAATTTCTGAAGGCAAGAAATTTAGGGAGATTGCCGTATACGTAGATAAGATGGCAAAAAGCTGGGAAGCAAAAGTGAAACCAAACTCGAGGCAAATAAAAACTATAAGAGCAGAGCTATGTTTCGAGCAGAAATGAATGTACGACACCAGATGATTATGGCGTGCATTTCTAGCTCTTGAGACATGGGAACGGGCGCTCGCCGCCGGCTGCCTCCGGACCGTGTCCCAGCGAGAGTGCCTGGTCGAATGTTTGGTAACCCTGAACTAGGCCATCAACTTATAGTGCTTCAGTCAATGTTTATTTTACTCCTACTTTTTTGTTCGAATTCATTATATCACTGTATATCACTTACGGTACATGCGATGCTATACTATATGCATAATTGTCGACACCCAGCTAATACATTTCGTTCATGAGCTTCAAAGTAACTTTAACAAGAGATAAGAGACCGATGCGATTTTCATAGACTTTTCAAAGGTACTCGATAAAGTGCCCCACCAACGTCTGCTACAAAAACTTACCCAACTGCGTATTCATAATTCAATATTCACTTGGATAAAAAAATTTCTATCTGATCGTACACAATATACTGTTGTAAACGAGTCCCATTCACCTCTTTCTCAAGTAACGTCCGGTGTACCCCAAGGTAGTGTTCTGGGCCTCTTGCTGTTTTTAATATATGTTAACGACCTTCTTGCTAACCTAACATCTGAAATTCGCCTCTTTGCTGATGATTGTGCTCTATACAGACCAATAAGTAATAATAATGATCACCTACTCTTACAAGCTGACTTACTAATAATAGAATTTTGTCAAAATGGCAAATGACAGTTCATGTATATAAAACAAAACGTGTCTTTCACCAAACCACAATCCCCATCATTCTTTTCATATCAACTCAACGACACAATAATTGAACCGTGTACATCTATAAATACCTCGGCGTTCATTTAGCCTGTGATCTATCTTGGGCAACTCACATTAATTTTATTTTATCTAAGGCTAATTCATCATTGGGGTATCTTCGGCGCAACCTCAAACTGGCCTCACCTGAAATTAAATAATTATCATACATAACATTTGTTAGATCTCGTCTAGAGTATGCGTCTTCTGTATGATCCCCATGGCAGCATTACCTCATTATGAAATTAGAGGCAATTCAAAACCGAGCTTTAAGGTTCATTTTCACAGACTACTTTCGTTTCACTAGCGTAACAGGCCCAAGGAGCAAAGCTAACCTTCACTCACTCTCATTAGGCACATTCTTTCAAGACTTACCCTGTTTAATAAATTATACTATATAACAATGCCTCTACTAGAGCATCCCTCTTCCTTCCACCACACAGCATATCTCTCCGCCATAATAACTCCCGCAAAGTTCGCTCAATTTTTAGTTCAGCTGTAGCATTTTATAATTCCTATCTGCCCATGACAATCAAGGACTGGAATAAATTACCCGATAGCGTTGTAACCGAGACTAACTCTGATAGAATTGCCGAAGAACTGATCAATTACCTCTAACTTACAAACATCTATATCTGCTAATTTATTTTCTCTCCCTTTTTACTGTTCACAGTGCATACCGTTAACAATATTAATAATATTGTATAATGTTTATAACTACTTGTATTTTGTTGTTCTTTGATTCAACTGTATTGCTGACTTCCTCTCCGTGAGTGTTAATTTATTTTAAACGATGATTATTAGTGTGTTATTGACCCCCCTTTTATAATGCCTTAGCGGGCCCTCAAAGAATAATCAATGATTGAATGAATTATTACGCAAGCAAAGGAAGCAGATGTGTTAAGTAAAAACTTACATCAGGTCTCAACAGTCTGGAGAACAGTTCAACCTTAAATTTCTGGTAATACTCGGGGTCTTTGATACCTGTCACACGCGAACTGTGGCAGGTATCACCCAATAAGTGAACTCCACCCGTCTGGTGTGGCAGGAGACCCTTGTACACGTTGAAATCACACAGTCACTCCTCGCGTGGCGTTCTTGTGAGCACTTGCCATTCGCCCTTGCGAACAAAAGAGAAGCTCTCCGTATGTTAGAGCTTGGCCTCCTCTATACTCACAAAGCCTGGCAGTTGGACGACGAACCCATAAAGTGCCTAGTCGCAGATTTGGAGCGCGAGAATCTGGTAGCACAGAGGATCAAAGAGCCATGTGTCGGGGAACCTGGACGTCAGCGCATAGCTTTTGCAGCGGCGAGGACCCGAAACATACTTGTTCGCTCGGGAAAAGTGTGTTTCGGCGTCTCGCCGCAGCGGGGCGCCAGTAACGTGGTTCTCCTCTCATCCGTTGTCTGCCGCTTCACTTTTCCTATTTCGGCTGCCGCTTTTCATGGCGAACTGCCAGGCATTGTCAGTACATAAAAGGCTGTGGTTAGAGGCTTACAGCTAATGAAGTTCGGCGCTTGAACAATTCTGTAGACTGCTTCACACATTTGGCGCTGAGCGAGTTCGAGCACATTGCTTTTACTTGTGAGCGCTTACGACAACAAAACGCCGGAGAGCTTATATTTGAGAGGGAGGGTACATCTCAGACCATGGTGAGCGTTTGCAATTTAATGGCGGACGCCCTCCTGCTGAGATAGGTGGCAATGGTGCATGCGCTGCGTTCTCGCATGGCGATGAGGAAAGCAGGCAGAAAGGCGCGTCGCTTGCAGACGACGTTTTCGGCACCTCCTCGCAGTTCGCATTGCAAACGCTGCCCATAAACCACGTGACCCCCATTCAGCAACTCTCTGTATAACGGGCTCTCTCTAGAAAACACGCTATACCACCCTGGCGCCATCAATCGGGCTGCCCTGGAACTCTTACCCGTCTGCGCATGTATTTGTACAGCTTTTCCACGCATACTTCTTTATCGTGGCTTGAAATAATTTGTGAGGGTGTTACAAGCGACTATTCCTCGTAGATAGTGCGTACAATTGATCTCGCAACTACTGCGAAGCATTCATACTAGATCCACTCAGATGGGGGAAAAGTTCCAGGGGCACCTGATAGATGGCGCTGGCATGCCAGTGTGTGCTCTCGTAAGCGGTTGCGAGGAAGCTCAATACACTTGAGCACACTTAAAAACAGATGTGTGAACCAGCCTTGTGGCAATTTTATACTGGATCGAGGTATAAAATTTCCACTTGTTTAGCAGATGCTTTTTTCTTTTTGCCAAGGACAGGCAACCTTGACGAAGCAACCAAGGACAGGGAACCTTGACAACATTCCGCTTTTTACACCCTTAGAGAGAGAAACAAGGGTTTCATAAACATTACGGGGCATGGCAACTACAAATATATGGCAGTTTTATTTGAGAAACTCAAGCAACAAAGAGTCACAGGGGGTACATGTGTCAACGTGTATCTTGTCCACACAAAACGATGCCTCGTAGAAGAATAACAACATTTCCTTCTTTTTTTTTTCTTTTTCTTTTTTTTACAAACGAGTTTTTACTCCGTTCTACGTAACTGTTAACCACAAGTTACGCCACAACTCAGTGGAGCAAATTTTGTTTTCACCATGTCTCAAGTTTTGTTTCAACCCTTATTCGTCATGTCAAAAATCGAATCGGGTACCGATCTTTGTGCCCCATCTGAGCTACCCTGAGATGGCTTGAAACAATCAGATGCTTGAAAGAACCTGTACCTTTCGTCGCTAAAGTACGCGTACGTCGTAAATACTTCAGTTTAGTGTGTGTTTTTTCTTTATGCAAAAATAGGGCGTAGCGATGACATCAACGCAGTTTTATCAGTCGCTTTCGGAGCAGCTTGAAGAGGAGCACTCGCCATCCGTCTTCTTCTGGTCCTGAACATTGTTAGAGTCGTTTTCCCTGCGAGGCTGGTTCCTGGTGGCGGTTGGCTGTAGCAAAACAAAAAACGAATTAGGAAGGCGCCACTGACAGATTTGCATCGTAATCAGACGGCAGAATCGTGAGTTTCGTTAAAAGGTTTATTAACGTCTACGGGAACGTTACTAGTGGTTGGGTAAATTGGGTCCCACGCAAAGGCCTACATGACAAAAAAGTAAATAAGTTACGAATTTTACCAACTTCTATTACGACAAAACTTTCCGGTTTAGATAGCATAGAAATTTGTTTTTTTTTTCTTGTGAATTCTACCAGCGTCTGAAAGAGCAGAACCTGCGCTACTGATGATGTGGCTTGCACTTAAAAGAGCAGAAAACTATAATACTTTTTCTTGGAAGTTCTACCAATGTCTGCTCAGACACAACTGGTGCTACTGATTGTGCCGAGCTGAACTTAAACAGACAGGCCATACTGATGAATTTTGTGACGTCATATGGTCGGTACATATATTTGGGAAGCACAAAATCTAGAACTCGGCCAAAAGTTAATTTATTATCGGTCTTTAGTAAATTCTCATTAGCACTTTAACTATACTATGGCACACTCGCATTCCGCAGTATATCCCGGAAAAAGGTTTTGCTTGATCAGTTAACTAGGGGCTACGTTAGTTTTGACGCCCTCTGAACAATCGCCACTTATAGTAGAAAATTATCTGCGATAAAAATATATATATACACACATCATCTATTGAAAATGTTCCAACTAGGCGTATAATTCCTTATTATTTTCAATTTTTATAAAAAGTTTTTTTTAGAAATAATTTACCAAGATTTATTAAAAAGTGAGCTTCTCGTTTTGTTCATAGTATCCAGGCATAAATCGGTCGATAGTCGGGCGCAGGAGTTGTTTCAAGCGAATTCCAGCTTAAGTATAATTATTTTCTTCGAAGGCAATAAATCATAAATTGCAAATACGTTAACACAATTTGTATTACAATGTAGTTCTTACATCAACTTACAAACATGTTGTGATACCTTTTAAAGGTGTTAATTTTTTTTTATCGCGCATAGTGTCAAGATGTATCATGCCCGTGGCCTTTGCTTCGCCTTCAAAAATCGCTCTGGGGCATAGCGTACGCTGGACAGATTATGGGAATACAAAAGCGCTAAATAATCACTAATATTTTGCGTTATAAGCAAATCCAACTAATTGCCTGCTTTCGTCCGCACATGTATCAATCGTCCAAATTGCTTTTGGGAGAAAGGTCACGTAACGGTACGCCGCACCCTAATAAAAAAAGGGTGTCACGTTACACCCTTTTGTCCCATATAATGCACCCCAAAACTTCAGTTCCACGTACAGCGCACTAGAGCCCAACAGATGGCCCCAAATTTTACGAGGGGCTTGATAACGGCGCGATATAACTTTTTAAATAGCTAAAGTACGTATCAAAGACCACATAAAGAAAACACGGAGTTTTCACAGTAGGGCCATGAAAACCCCGATTTTTGTTTTTGTAGTCAGTAACACGTATATTGGCTATTTAATTAAGTTGTACCACAAGACTATCAAGCGCCTCGTAAAATTTGGGGCCGTGTGTTCGACTGTTGGGCGCTGTACATCGAATTGAAGTTTCGGGGTGCATTATATGGGACAAAGGGTGCAAGAATACACTGTTTTTTTTTCTTTTTTTGTTAGAGTGCGTATCTAATAGAATGAATCGGCAACGACACAAGACTCACCAGGTATCCGAGTGCGGCAAGGACGGCCCGTTTGCAGCCGTCGGTCACATACTTGACTTTGGCGTACACTTCGAGGAGAGCGTCGGTGGCCAGGCGTCTGATGGGGGCGAGTCGCTTGTTGAGTTCGGGCGAGATCTTGGCGTAGGTTTCCTGCAGACTGCGGGCCAACTTGGAACGCTCCGTCACCAGCGCCACGATTTGGTTGGTTGCGTTGTTGCTCACGACCAAGACTTTGGACGGCAAGGTCTGCAAATTGGGGGGGTTACAACGGAGCTGTTAAGGGCTAGTTTCCCCAGGATCGTGTCTCCCGCTAAAAAGTGAAGACACCGAATTCCGGACACTCACCGCCATCTATGAGCGACGGCGGCAAGCCACGTATCTGGTTGCCGCCGTCGCTCATAGATGGCGGCAGCCTTTCCACTCTGACTTGCCGACTTGCGGCCGGGCATTACTTTCCATTGTACAGCTTCGTTGGTCTTCCTTCTTTACCAGAGTGGAAAGGCTGAAAGCTTTTGGTATCACGCGGAGGACCACACTTTTTTTGTTATCTTTTATACGGCACAAACTATATACTCCACTTGACTTTAAGTCCGACTACAGCCCACGCTACGACCCGGAGTCAATTAACCAGCTTCAGTAGAACATCGCCGCGTCCCTGATGTTTTTGTGGGTGACATATGCTTGAAGTTATAGAAGATCGTTTGTTGACAAGACAATGATGAAGAGGCGTTTCGCCTAACCATCCCTATGCAGGCGGCCTCATGACCTGTGGGCATAACTGGTCTGGAAACTGCTTCAGCTTGATCACGGAGCGAAGAGGCCAACTTGGAAAGGTTTGAGGTGCCTTGTCAGAAGGAGTTAGAGCACTGGAGGAAATTTTGGGTCACAGCGACACCGTTGAGCTGCGGCGGCTGGGAGAAACTACCTCCCCATGCGAAGGCCGCAAGAAAGCGCGCTTCTTCAATGCAGCCCGGCCATGGTATTACGATGGTCAAGCACCTAGCTTAATGCCACGTGCAATGCAAAGGGGAAGGAACAAAAGCTTATTTACCGTGCACCTCATCGCGTTGTTGTTAATGACGTTAAACATTTTTTTTCTTGTAGAGATTCATTATTTCGGGTGCTGGAGGGAACTGTTAAAACAAAATACGCAAACAAAACAAAACAAAAACTATGCTAACTGTATAGGCCGTTTACACTCCAGTGGATTAACAGAAATCGTCCGTGCGCTCTCCTTCACTTGTGTTTTGATATTCGTATTTGTATCTGTATTCTTTATTTGAATCTGTAGAGATATTGCACCCCAGAGGTTCGCAGGCTCATACTCGAAGGTTTTTGATGCCTTGCAAATTACAGCTAGGTACATATAAGTGCGTCATAAGTACCCACATAGAGGGAGGTGACGAACACGCAGCGCTCTCGACACTAGTGTCCTGAGCGGTCGACCTCATTTGGCGTCTCGTTTGCACGCGCCATCAAACAAGTGACTCGTTAGACATGGCCACGGGGTCAGGCTAGTAACTCTGTTAACATCGCACGCTATGTACCAAACGAAGTAGACTGCAGCACAAGCATTTCAACAGCAAAGGCGAGTTCGAACTCAATGCACTGGGGCAACCTGCCAATAAGCCCAGAGCAATGCAATTATTAGGGCGCTTTACTGTTTTAGTATAAGGGACCCCAACGCATTGGGGTTCCTCGAGCATATTGGGGCGTCGAACTGCGCACGCGCACAACTTCCGCGCATGTGCAGTGCGGCGCCCCAAGCTGCTTGGGAGAGCCAACGTGTTGAAACCCCCACTTCTAGAGCTCCCTATGTCTCAAAGCGAGCTCAATGCCGCTAACCAACCTTAACCTCACTCTGTAAGTTAGCATCGAGGCATCAAAGTTAAAAAGCGCGCCCGGATGCACTCTGATGTGACGCTAGCAAAACCATCTAATAAGTTAGGATCCATGCACGTTACCGAGTCGGTCGTAAAAGTATTTTTACTGGAACGCTTGTCTAACGACTAGGCTAGACAACATATCGAGGACATTCCGAAAGGCAAGTGGAAACAAAAGTCCCATACGTTCGCAATCATCCTAGCTAACAAGTGTTGAAAATCGAGTAGGTTTTCTCTGATAAAGAGCGCACTGTTCTCCGGCAACAGTCACTTCAGCGCCCAACAAACATGGGAAAGGTATACTTGGTGTTTTTAACTACGAGACCTGAGGCGCGAGTGTTCAAAGTTCGAGGAGAAAGCCGTAGGCCGGCTCGATAAGGACGCCGGAAGTCTCAGCTCGTCTTCATTTATCAAGTTCAACGTCCGACACCCAAGGAGAAGGAGCAAGTGGCGGGATAAACACCTCAAGAACACCCACGCGGGTGAAACGGTGGTCAAGTAGTGCCTACAATAGGCCACTCGTCATGATTCACGTCAGCCTGAGAACAACCACTTCAAAAACCAAGAGTCATCGTTAGGGGCAGCACAAAACACAACTTTACAGATATACCGACGGTTTGACCTTTATTTAAACAGATACGTTAAAAAAAAGCTTCCATGAAAGATGCACTAATGCGGTCTTTGCAGGTGAGTTATACGGCCAGGGGGTCGATTTTTGAAAGACTTCAAGCAGGGATGGGCAAAATACATGCAAATATATATCGAAATACAAATGCAATACTTCGCCAAAAACGTATTTAATTACAAATCTAATTACATTTCCAAAAAAGCATTTAAGTACAAAATACAAATACAACCAAATGTATTTGGTCTCCTCCAAATACTTTTCCAAATACATTCCTCAAAATTTGCGTCAGCGACTTTAGGGCACCTGCAACGGATTTCTGGGTATCTCATTTTAATTTTGCATCGCACACTCGGGAGTTAATGTGCGAGGCTCTAGTAACGTAATAGGAATATAATCACGAAAAGATGTAATCAGCTTAGACGTAATTGGTGAAAAAAGTACAGAGCTTCAAGCAGCTTTTTTTGTCGATTACATTTTGGTATAGATCAACAAAGAACCGAAACGACCAAGACGCGCAGCACTAGCTAGAGATTTTTTTATTGTTGCAACTCGCACCAGTTACGAAAATCTGGACGACCCGCGCATTTAGAATGTTCCAGGCAAATATATTGATGGAAATCAGGCTGGAAAGCATCACAAGTTGTCACAGGCCCTTATTTAGCCAGTCTGCCTGTAAACGTCGGTTTCGTCACTCTGCTCGCCCTGGACTAACTCCGTAATCACAAAGTCACTAAATCGCTTGTGCTTGATTGGGCGACACCGCATTCGGTGCAGAACGTAGTTTTTTTTCCTTCTCTGGACACGTCTTAGGGTGAGCAAAATGAGTCGTGACAATAACTTTGAGGGATGCATTTCCGCCCAGAAAATTGGATTTCATTACAATTGTATTTGAAATATCCACGTTTTAGTATTTAAATGCACACATCAAATACATTACCCAATTTGTAATTAAATACAAATGCAAAATACATAAAGTATTTGAAATACGTATTTCAAATACATGTATTTGAAATACTGCCCATCCCTGACTTCAAGCATGTGGTAAGCGGGAAAGCCGGCTAAAGTTGCCACCAGTGCAACAGGCGCAACGTTGGTGTAGCAACAAAAAAGGAAAAAAAATATTATTATCCCTGTTTTCAAACCGCCAGCGTTATGTCTATCCCAAGAGTGGAAATCTTTTAGCTCACCACCGCGCTGAGCATGTGCCTCAAATTTGACTGAAATTGACGGATTTAGTGGTTCTCAGCAAGCTCCTAATTATAATTATGTTTGTTTTTCATTTATTAAAAGGTTAATAACCATATATTAGCTTTCTATTTAACTTATCACGAGGATTAGCTCCCTATACTATTTCCCCTTTACCATATGATACAACTCACGTGCACAGAACCAATTGGTGTAGATGACACTTTTTTTTTTAACTTTTGGAATAATAATTGAATACCCTGTATGATGTGAACAAGTCTTTCATAAATATTCGTTTCTGGTGGAGGTCAGCAGTCAGTTTGGGGTTTTCTCCGATTCCTCCAACTATTTTCTGCTGCCATTGAGGTATTTTTTTTAATAAGCTTACCTGAATAAAACACAAGCATTCCAACCGTTTTGCTTTGATTAAACCTTTAAAGCTGAGGACAGCAATGCCAATCGCAAATATCAAAGCCAGCTCGCTAAAAAGAAACCACACCCTCGTTGAAGATGTGTCACTAAAGAGTATGCGGGATTGCCGCATAAATAAGTAGCAACTGTATCCTCCACGGGCTGCGAATTGTTCACTAGCTGACTTCGCCAATCCTTTCAGTAGACTCTAAATGCACTTTTACAAATCGACGTTAAGCTCAGCGAACGCCTCCCATCGCAACACGGGATGCTTTCGTTCGTCGACGAGCTCGAGGTTGTGATTCACGCAACGTTTAATAAATGGCGAGCAAGAGATCGCGCTTTGACGTCATTAAAAACGTTCCCCACGTTGAGCAGCGGTTCCTTCTACTCAGCACTGAAATGTAACGTCGACTACCCTTCAATATAACAGGGAAATAACCAATCACTGCAATGATCGTACTCGGAGATTAGAGCGGCGAATTCTCAGGCCTTGTCATTCGCAGTTTTATTCGAGCAAGATCTGGCCTTTGAGCGCGACAGCCTGGGCAGAGCAGACGACGCTCTTGCTTGCCTGACTGGAGGGAGGCAGGAGGGAGACCGGAGTATGATACAACGACAAAAGTCTTTCCGTCTACCCACTAAATCTTCCAATCAGAGCTCGCCGCTCTGACCTCACCACACGCTTTCCTCTTCTCTCCCTCCCTCTCAGTTTCTCCTAGTGTAAGCTTTGGAAAAGCATTTGCGATTGCTGACAGGAAAAACAGTAACAACGCTATCAAGGGTATCCAACCTTGTGTGTACTAGGATCGGGGTCGTTGAGCAAAGCTTTGATCCAGTTGGCCTCCGGATGCAGTTCGTTGAGGATGTCCTTGAGGCTCTTGCTGTTGTCCAGGAGGCCGTTCTTTATTTTCTGGAGGGCACCCAGTGCCACCTGTGCCTGCGCGGACAGCTTAGAGGAAGCGTCCTGGAACGCCTTGTACTGCTTCTGGGCCACCTTTACGGCAAACGTTCCGCTCTTGCTGGTGATGGAGTTCAGGCGGTTCGCCAGCTCAAGGCCTTCGTACTTTGTGGCTTGCACCTCGACACCCATCGAAGACAGTTCCTGGAAGGATGACGAGCAAGCATAAAAATTATACAAGGTCCATCATGCTGACGAACATCGGGGAGCGGGTAATTTGTTCAGCGCGAGCTACCACCTCCCTGAGCAGCCGAGCCGAGGCAAGTAGAAATGACCATTAGCAGGATGCAATTACGTTGAGTGAAAGCTATGTAAAAAAAATAATAGGGTCCCCTGTGATTGAGCTCACCGACCGATTAAAAACAATCTGAGGTTACGGGCTGGCAGCCAATGAGAGTCTAAGAGTCAAGAGGTGCGACCTTATTTTAATTTGGTTGCGGCATCGTCGCCAGATAACAGGGCTTCTCTTCTATTTTTCTTGGTATTCCTCATCAGCCGACCGAAATGATAGCCCAGCTGTCACGTAGACAGCTGTTATCAAACCTCGACGGCGATCATTGTCCGTCCGAGTTTTTCTCAGCGAAAGCCGTGGCGACGCCAGCAATAGCTCAAGGGTGTTGAACACAGATATGATCGATTTGGCACGGACACTTGTCACTTATTTTTGCTCCGGTAGATACGTCTAAAAGCCCGCGGAATACCAGCAAACTGCCTGGCGCTCTTTGCCTGCACATCCCCGCTGAGAAACACTAACTGCCACTACGCAACATTTGCGATGCCTCCAAGATCTCAAAGCACAATAATATCGAGATGATTGTAGAGACTGTAAAATAAGTTTGCAGCCAAAAGAAAAGGGCAGGCGTACTACAGATATTCATCGCTTTCTAAGTGTAAAATTTAAAAGAAAAAAGTTGTGAACGCAGTGCTGAGTTAAAAAAGGGAATCTCGAAAGTTAGAATCGTTGAAAATGTCTGATTGTGGAAGGTACGAGTAGTAGCAGTCTAGCTGTGCAATGGAATTTCTCGCGCCAAGTTCGGACCTCTTTTAGAACAGGTATTACGCGAGAGTTTTATAACGACGATTTACATGAGAAGCCCCACTGATGAGAAGACACAGACGAAACTAGACCCAAACCACTGAGTTGAGCTGGGCTTCTGATACTACATACGCCACTCTCAGTACCCCTAGACACCTTGATCCTAAAGCTGTTCGGGCCTTATTGGGTGTGTGGAAGTAATATATCTAAGCATGCTTTTGTTTTCACTTTAATACTAGAGTTTTACGAGCCGTTTTGTAACATACATAAAATTGGTCTTCAAAGACGTGCCTCCCGATCACGCGTGTCTTAATGCGGCGTGCGCGAATACGTAGTTTTTAATGGATGTTCGTAACCTGCAAAAGCGCACACATTATGGAACATGTCGTCTCGCACGCACGGTTTTCTAATATTACAGAAACAAATGATGGAAGCATAGAGATAAGTTGTATAAAATAATAATGTCGTCCTCCAAATGAAATCAGGATAGCCGTGTTTCAGTACGAGCTAAGTAAGTGTTATTTTTATTTGTGTACCTGTCAACATCACAAACGAGGAAATCTCAGGTAATCTAATATTCGCAGGGAAGTGAATAGCGTGCAGGCAAGCCTACAGAAAACAAACAAAACAACGGAAGGTAAAAAAAAACTGAGGACATTTAAGCACTTCTTATGAGTTGTGAATGCGAAAGCATTCACAACAAAGCGCCGCCTCGCGTCGTCGAACGACCTCGTCCTCTTGCCGCCTGAGACGCTTTGAATCGCGATCCGCTTGCGCCTCACACTTTCGAAAGGCTTTGTTCTGTCTCTTAGCGCGTTGCGCCGCTACTCGTCCTGCCCCCCGCGTATTCGGAGGCTTGACAACGATGGTAGATTTCGCTGTCTGCCTCCTCGCTCGTTGTGCTGCGTTAGTTCTTTAGTTCCCTTAGTTCGTCTGATGTGCACTTGCGTGGACGGGCAGAGGTTTCGCTACAGCCGAGGTTGCGGCCGCCAATGATGTAGATGCTCGAACCGCTGCCATGTTCGTCGGCGTCGAGGAGAGCAGAACAGAAGCGGCCGAGCGCGCGCACCGCGTTCTTTCTACGGGCGCAGGGCCCGCAGCGCCATGGGGTGGCGTTCCTTGAAACTATGACTCGCGCCAGCCAATGGGAGCCTCTTGCTTGAAACTATTACGCGCGCCAGCCAATGGGAGCCTATCCATCAAATCGCTGCAACAGACTACACGCTTCGCTCTACTGGGACAGGGGAGGTTAGGTGCCGTTTCGTGCGTGGCGTTTAAAGCTGACAACGCCGGTTCGCTCCATGGGACCAGTTAATGCTTTCGGATTAAAAACCACTACGAATACTAGTGTGCGTACAAGAAAACATACGGAAGTAGAACAAGCCGATGAAAGCAAACAAACTCTGAAACCTAACCATACAAATATAAATCATGACCAAAAGAAACGATTCATAATCAAACCTTAAAGAATCACGCACTTTGTTCAACCTGTCTTCTGTGACGGTGAGGGCAGTCTGCATGTACTCCTGCGTCCGCTTGTGGCACGCCTGGTACGCCGTCGTGACCACCTCCCGGGGATGAGCAAGGGCGTGCATAGCCTGCGACGTGCTGTTGCGTACCAGGGACACCGCGTACTGCCGAGCTTCCTCGTACTTCTTGAGGCCGTACGTGGTCGCGTCCTGGAAGATCTTCTCGGGTTGGTTCTTTTTTACCTCCGGATAGGTTTTCTCGATCTTGTCCAGTCCTTTTCACGCCACAGAGGAAACATGCAATGAAACGCGTTAGTTGTTACTTTCTCCAGTGGAATGACGTAGTGTGCGCATGAAATTTTCGAGTATGCACGTTTGCATGTATGACCACAGGGCGCCGCCATCTTGCCCAAGTTGGGGTGCGCTTGGGTGCGTCATTGTCCTATTACGCCGCCTTGCTAAGGCGTCGTAATTGGATTAGGGCCGCGCTCAAGCGCACCCCAAGTAAGCAAGATGGCGGCGAAGTTCTTGCCCAGTTTGGGTGCGCTTGGGCGCGTCATTATCCGATTACGCTGTCTTGCTAAGGCGTCGTAATCGGATTAGGGCCGCGCTCAAGCGCACCCCAAGTGAGCAAGATGGCGGCGAAGTTCTTGCCCTGTTTGGGTGCGCTTGGGCGCGTCATTATCCGATTACGCCGTCTTGCTAAGGCGTCGTAATTGGATTAGGGCCGCGCTCAAGCGCACCCCAAGTGAGCAAGATGGCGGCGAAGTTCTTGCCCAGTTTGGGTGCGCTTGGGCGCGTCATTATCCGATGTCGCCGTCTTGCTAAGGCGTTGTAATCGGATTAGGGCCGCGCTCAAGCGCACCCCAGCTGAGCAAGATGGCGGCGAACTGAGGCCGTGCTTGCAAACGTGTATATCACTCTAAGAAATCTGTAGTGTCTACTTTTCCGCAAAGTACCGGGCGTTCCTGACAAAACAAAAAAAGAGTTTTTAGGCGGGCGTAAATAAACTATGCACCGCAGAAAGCTTAAACTCCGTGACAAATACGACACTAATGGGACTGCGAAAGTTTGAAAACATGGCGTTTAAAATATAATTGAGAAAGACGAAATTTCTTTACGAGCCGACATCCACCTAAGCCTAATATTGTTAAAACGAGAACTCACATTGTGGACGCTAATTGTCGGGTTTATATAATTGAAAAACATTTGTCAGAAAGAAAGCGAATGTTGTTCTATTTCTCGCTGACAAGATTTTAGTACTTTGTTTATCGAACTAAGTGCTACAGGCTCCCACAATACAATTTCTTGTTTTGAAGATATTAGGCTTAGGTGACGTCGGCTCATAGAGAGATTTCGTATCATCGGCTACGAAGCTACAAAGCGATGATGTAGCAACCTCATTCAGTTTGCAGCATTAGACGATAAGAAGACCGAAGAAGTAATCACGAAGAAAGAGAAAAAAATAAAACATTAAACTATTTAGCCTTTGCTACCCGTAGTTCTTAAGCTCTCCGTGGTTATATATATCCCTCAGGAAGCTGGGCTTCACTGCCTGATGTGTCTTGAGAATGATGTTCACTTTCAGACGCCCCTACGTGCACTCTGCACCGCGGTGCAAGCACAAAACCAGTTATCTGTCTACCTCTATGCCGTTCAACCAATGAAATAAAATATCGGTACCATGCAAGCTTAGATGATATAGTTCAGTATCAGTAACAAAAGAAATAACCAGCTTCTTTTTTTTTCCTTTTTTTAACTGAGACCGCATGCGTACTGTGACACCGATCACCCTTCTTATTGCTTCAAGCAAATGAGAAACTAACTGACTGGTGTACAGGGTGAACCTCAGGGCAGTATACATGTCTCTAGAAATGCGCCGCTTCCTGTCAGAACTTGTCGGAATATTTTTTTAATAGAAAATACCATTGTATTTCACTGTACGCTTCTGCGTTTCGGTTGATACGTGCACGAGACCCACCACGATCGGCCTTTCTTTATCGCTCAGTTACTTTGTGGAGCGCGAGTTCGTCTGTTTCTTCCTGAAGGGTTGCTGTGACGTCAGAATGCCGATCTGCGATTGGTTCTGATCGACAGAACAGTGGCTAGACCTCAAAACAGCCAGTAGTGAGGTCTACCGCTATCCTTCCAATCAGAGCCAATCAAAGCTCGGCTTTCTGACATCACTGCAACCGCCTCGCAAGAACCAGACGAACTTGCCCTCCACACGGGTTCCCTTTGTCTGCGAATAAACGCGATGAAACGCGCACTACGAGACGGTACACTCTGGTATACCACGCAGCGGATCTAACCTTTGCACGCCAAGCTGTCCACATACTGTCCTGGGCCGGAGAGCAAGCCGAGTAGGGGCAGGGAATGCTCCACGGCGTAGGCGGCCGACCGCTCGGCCGTTGAGAGCGTGTAGCTGAGCAGCCCATTGCGGTCCTTGACTTGGTTGTACGACTGTTTGGCGGTGTCCAGAGCAGTCACGACGGCTGGAAAGTTCGAGATCCTGTTCAGGAAGTGACTCTGGGTGGTCGGTTGGCTGGTCGCCTCCGGCATCGCCTGGTGAGCGTAAAGCAGAAAAGCGTGAGAGTAGGGACAACCTCGCGCAAAACAAAGCACGAGAGACGACCTACCCGAGCATCTTACGCTCCCTTCGAACCTAAGCAGACAGTGTGTGTGTGTGTGGGGGGGGGGGGGGGGGGGGGGGGCAACGCGCTGTCTGGTCTAACAAGCCCGTAGCTTCCACTGCACAGCCAGCTTGAGGGTGATGGGATATGGGAGTGTATTTCTGGTAGGATGCCTTCCTCAACGAACATTTAAGTACGCTTGCCGCAATAACGAACATACCTTGAAGTACATTGCCCGAAGAAGCAAGTATCTAACCTGCCATTAAAATATATTTAAAAGCTATTATCTGAGCGCGACTTTTATGGCAGTTAGTCCGGAGTATACTTATGTGCAGGTTACTCACTATTTTGGAGTATTTTCTTTTATGAGACTGCATGAAACTTAGTTTCTAAGTATGGCGAAAAACCAGAACACTTGAACATCCTTAATGTGTTCCCTTTTTCCTATGCATGAGATCAGCACCGGAAGGACTCGTAATCAAATAATATAAAACAACCGGAATCACATCTTATCCTAATTACAGGCGGAGGATTTAGTCTATACGTTGTCTTGTACCAGCCTTGCCTGTGGTTTTAGTAAGACTTTTAAAAAATAGGCTTTGGGGGTTTGGCACATCTACCTTACAAAATTGTTGCCCCAAGTGAAGTTTCCTTCCTTCGAAACTTAACTACGTACGAAAGAACACGAAATACAGGGTATTGAATGCACGCATTTTGGCACGCGTTCAAATACTCCCACAGAGGGTGATAGTCCTGCCAAGACTGGTGCTTGGCAGATGTTCTTATCAAAATGGCCTTCTAGGGCCGCTTCATAAGATTATATTTAGCCCCATAAAAGCGCAGTCCCGGGCAGATAATGCCTTGCTTCCTTATCTGCCTGATCGGTGTCCTAAATTGGGGTCCACGCGCTTATCGACTATTTGTGTGGTACAACAAGCCACACTGATACCAACGCCACACTCAGGATAGCAAGACGATCGGGGCAATTTCATCGATTTAAGCTATTAAACGGAACGGAAGCGAAGCAATTAAAACTAATTATAAGTTCTTCACGCAATCGTAATACCTTCAGAGATGATGATCTAGTTGACCTAACACTGGAAACCGACGAATCGCCAACTATACGAAGGGGCGAATGGCTGCATAGCATGGCGTAACGTTTGGCTATTACTCAAGTCTATCAGCCATCCTATATCTGAAATTCTGCGGAAACCTAACCCCCCACTTTTGCTATACTTCGTTTCAGCTTCGGTCCGAGCGCGGCCGATGTTATGAGCCGAAGGGCCAATCAAACAGCGTAAGGTCACGGCGTGCTCTCTGTGCTTGATGAGACTAGCCGGCGGAGGAGCACGCACTGAGAGACGGCGAATCCAGGCTGGTCCTATCAACTGCAGAGAGCACGCCATGACGTTGTGCCTCTTTCGCTGTTTGATTGGCCCTTCGGCTCATAACATCGGCCGCGCTCGGACCGAAGCTGAAACGAAGTATAGTACAGGCAAAAATATCGCCCAGAAGAATCAAAAGCCCGTGTACTATAGAATTTTTACGTCATCACAGTGAAATCCCGCGAATACACAAATTGGACGCGAGCGCTTTCCCAAGGTTCGGCCGGGCCTATTGTTTAATCAATGCGTCGAAAGGCGCTCGGTAGGTATCAAGGCGGGCCTAATTTGTTGAATTAGCGTCATCCTACTTTAATGACGCTACGCGGAGTTAGTGGAGACTGTTCAAAGGTTTCTATTATTCAAAGTGGCGTTGGTATACAGGCCGACGGCATTACCAAGGGAGTGCACTTTTCTTTCTTTTTTTGTAATGGTTTTTCCGCATATTGTTTCAAACCTTTACTTTTTACTGAAAGTCCACTAAGTTGTTATAACCGAAATTTATTTTAAGAATTAAAACGGCGCAGCCAGAACGGCTTTTGACCGACATTACCAAATCGCTTGGATTATATTGCAGAGCAAGTTCATTGGATTTTGCGCAGATGTTTCGCGTACGCCTCCCATCGCCATCTAGAAAATCACTTTTAACAAAAACAAAAAGCTGCTAATTTTTTGGTTGCCAGTTAAAAGGTAATTTATGAGAGGACCACTTGTGAGACCCGTGGAGAGGGTTCATGAATGCAAACACGGCTACAAGAACTGAATAATACAGCTAATATCACTTTTGGTATACAGAGTAATTATGTAGTAAAGAGGTCTTCCGCTATCAAATCAGTATGGCGTTGAGAAACTTTACATATTGTTTCTGCAGTATTTATTAAACCAATTGGTCTGACCGGCGTTCAGGAACTTCATTTGTGAAGATAACTTTTGAACATTCGAATATCTTTAATAGCCGCCATCATTCCATCTTCTAAAAGAAGCCAGTTGAACATTTGAAGACACACCAAGAGAGAAGGTGAGAAAAAAACGACAAACACACTGCGGGACTACCAATCGTCAACTGAACATAAACCTCTTCTTCCACTCCCATCATTTTGGAGATTTCAGAATCATCAACTAGCTCAGCTACAAGCAGTCACATATCATTCCATCAATGAAGAATTCAAAAACGTTTGAAATTTGAAAGGCCGTTTCGAGCACTTTTATTAGATTGGATAGGAAACTGGGATTCATTTTTGGGCTGTTACTTTTTTTTTTTCTCTCGAATATAACTTTTTTACTTATCACAGATAATTTCAGTCTTCCCAAGAATGATCTCTACATCTTGAAGAGTCTGGCGACTTTGCCACTCGTCTGAAGTTGTGGCGAATTCTAAGAAAACCTTTCAAGAAAAGTCGACCAGTGATAAAGGAGGTATCCATTCGGGGCTCATTTTCTATTGACGTTCGTGTGGATATACAAAACTACCGAGCCGTAAAAGATATGGAAATGTCTAGGCGAGATAATATATTGCCGTGCGGAGCGATTTTTGCTTTCGTGATAAACTAGACGACGCCCATCACTCATTCCCTCGCACGATATGTATGAGGGTTAACGTCATTTTGAAGCAGCAAGATATGCTGTTTAAAACTACGTTTTGTATTTTTCACGCCAATTGAAGCGTCTAAATTTAAAACCGCCTGTAGACTTTTACCGATACTATGTGGATGATCATCTTTACATCACAACCATTATGACCACTTCAAAACATATACCGGAACAAGTGAAATTAAGTTTCTTAAAAATATATTCAACAGATTACTTTTTCTTTATCTTCAGGCAGACATAAGCATGAAGACAGATTATGATCTGACACGTTATGAGTTTTGGGTTGAGACAACGAAAATTAATTTGGTAATCGTTTTCTGTATTTGCTTATTCGTCTCCTGTGGAGCTTTGTCTGGCGATTTCGGGTTTTCGAAAGCCCACAAAAGTTCAGGGGTAACCGAATTTGGCATTCTTTTACCAGAGTCTGGAGATTTCGGCTCTAAATTGCCGGACAAGTGCCATAGTCATGCCTCACTGCCCGATTGTTTCCTTTTAACCTAGCGAACTTGCGTATAAATTACCAAACAAGTGCCAGAATTTGCCTTCACTGTTGGTGATTCGGTAGACGCGTGCAATCTATGGCTCTTATACGTCTGACGCGTTGGTCATTATTTGGAAAACCAAAGGAAGGTCATTGAGGAGTCAAAGGAAATTGCTTCGGCACTAATTAACGCCTTGGAGAAAACCCTTATTAGGCCCCAAAGATTCCTCAACTTCGGCCAAGTTAGGCGTTGCTTTGGCGTGCTGCCTGAGTTCGTTCTGCTCTGTTTTCTTCACACCTGCGCATGGCGAGCTACCACGAAGCGGCCGTAACCAGGATTCCATATCCTAGTGATCCTTTACCCAGGGGTCTCCCCAGGAGTTGAAATTAGGGGGTGTCTAAATTGTTAGGGGGGGGGGGGGAGGGGGGGGCTTGAGAACAGAGGCGTCGTTGCGAATTAAGAGGGTGCCTTCAGAAAAAACAAGGGGTTATACACCCACAATTTTAAACTTGCCGTATGAATACGAACGACTCAACGACGGGAAGGAAATGAGAGATCCTAAGGAAAAACAAGATAGCGATGCAAATAGAAACCTCGTGTTCCAAGAAAGGCGGTTTCACATTTCGAGCTACAATCTCGGGCCGCTTTAATAAGCCGTGAAGAGATCGCGCGGTATATTGGAGCTGAGATAAGTATTGAATAATCTCATCATATAGTTAGTCAGTCACCGCTCTTGTCCAGAGCGAAATGCGATTCCAAGAGGAGAGCGACCACATACACTCTAAAAGACCTGGAGCACCTACTTTTCCGCGATGCACTTAAGAAAGCAAATTGTTTCAATGTACAGAAGAAAAAGTTCAGCGAATGACGAGTCTGAAACCAGGGTTACACCTAAAATAACCGTCTGAGCTGTGGCACTTAGCATGAGGTATGCACCTGAAATATGCTCTAGTTCACAACAGAGACCGTTTTTCTGTTTGGGCCTGGACACACGTTCAATTTAGTCGCATCAATTCAAACTACACCTATGATATGTTTAATGGCGGGCGACGTATCTGTAATTGAAATCTGCCAGCTCAGGCGATTTTAATCGTTAATTAGTGAATTTTAGGTCATTGTTCTTTTTATTTCTACTTTTACGCTCGTAGTCTAACGTCCGGCGCTAAAAAAAACATAATTTATTTTAACTGCCCTTTTTATTATTCTCAGGCGCAGTTCAAACACCCTGTATATGACAAAGATCGTGATATATATTTGGATCTTTCTACAAAGGCATGGCAAGGGGAAGCAGCAAAATGCATTGTCTTGGTGATAATCATAGTGCATGTCGGGCTGTGGAATGCCTAGAGACAATGTTATCTGTTCAATTGTTCTTCAGTAACGCCCCAGTTGTTCAGGTGCTAGTGATAGTCGCACAAACTACTAAATTGTACTAGAGCGAGAAACCTTTCCTTGGGGTTGGAAAGATTGTGTGCACT